CATCCTCTCTTTTCTTCTTCTTGGTAATGGGTTATTGAACTCAGTGCTTTACCAATGAGCTACATCCTCAGCCCCTGCTCTTTTTTTTTTTTTTTTTTTTTTTTTTAATTTTGAGACAGAGTCTTGCTAAATTACTTAGGGTCTCACTAAGTTGCTGAAGCTGGCTTTGAACTTGCAATCCTCCTGCCCCAGCCTCCAGAGCTGGTGGTATTACAGGCATATGCCACCACACTTAGCTCCATTCCCTCTCTCTCCCCCTCTTTTTTTTTGGGGGGGTGGGAGGTACCAGGGATTGAACTCAGGGGCACTGGACCACTGAGCCACATCCACAGCCCTCGTTTGTATTTTATTTAGAGACAGGGTCTCACTGAGTTGCTCAGTGCCTCACTTTTGCTGAGACTGGCTTGGAACTCATGATCATCTTGCCTCAGCCTCCCAAGCCGCTGGGATTACAGACAGGCCTGCGTCACTGCAGCATTTTCTCTTAATTCTGCGAATCCATGGTTTCTATGTTCATTTACTCATTGAACTGTTCTACTTTATCACATGCTGAATAATGATAGATGCCAAAAAAATGACATTATTTCTGTACTTAGGGATTCCAAGAGAAAAGGTGAAAAAAGAACTATTAAGCAAAACTGTATTTAATATTAATGATGTGTTATAGAGTTCAGAAAAGAGATTAAATAGGCCATGTGATCTGAGCTAAATCTTGAGGGTTGAGTAAAATGTTCATCTTTCCAAAAAAAGGAGACAGACCTGAGAGCAGTACCAATACTCCAAAAGGGATGAGAAGCCAGGATCAGAGAAAAACATCTACCACTTATCAGTGTGCTGCCAATATGCCAGGCACTACTGATAATCAGTTAAATGGAGAAGGCATTTACTATTATAATGTCCTCGAATTTCAGAGGAGACTGAGGCTGACATAATTCATTCAAGCTGCTACAAGTGGACCAGTATTTAGATGTCTGAATGTATTGAAAATGTCAGAACAATTGAGATTAGAATGGAATACAAAGCCATTAATACTATTTAAAGAGTTGGGCTTCCCGGTAAAGGAATGGAGGATCTATTCACTAAAAATTTGAGAGTAGAGAACCAATATATTAAAGTACAGATTAGATATAGGTAGCTGAGGGGTTTAGTCTAGAAACTGCAATTAAAAACCTAACAATAACAAATATAACAGAAAGGAAACAAAAGTTGTGACACATTTCTAACCCCTCTTTTGTTCCTTTATTTTCCTTCCTTTACTGTTGTCATATTGTCACATAACAGGTACAATCAATTTCCATTCTGTATGCACAATGAAGTATTGTCACCAAATAATCTGGTCAACTGATAGGTAGTAAACCAAATATTAACACAAATGAATTAACTTTCCAAGCAAGAAATAATTTGTATAAGGCATTTTTTTTTTTACAATGAAGTGGCAAAATACAGATTATAAAGTACAGGAAAAACAAAAAGTTAAAACAAAGCTGAAGTTTAAAGTCCTAGATGAATGCAACAATAGAAATAAAGAGAAAAATGAGCAGGAGAAGATAGATTTCTGCTTTCCTTTGAGTAGAGGAAAAATGAAGGAAGATTATAAATTTACTTTGAGGTAGCTCCATTTGAAAATATCTAGTTAACCATCTCCTATAAACACGTCAGCAGATTAAAATGTCAGTGCTCAGGAGAAGACTTAGAGCTAGAGCTAAGTACCTGAGACACATTTCCAAAGGCATAATAGTTGAATCTATAGGAGTGGGTTATTTGGGGGATAAGGGATGGGGAAAGGAAGAAGAAGAAAAAAGGAAGAGCTTTTCCCATCAGTGACTATCTTCCTTCTGGAAAGTTTGGTAATGGTTCTTTTCTTTCTTTTTTATTTTTTGTAGTTGTAGATGGACAGAATGCCTTTATTTTATTTGTTAATTGTTATGTTGTGCTGAGGGTCGAACCCAGTGCCTCACATGTATTAGGCAAGCGCTTTGCCACTGATAGCCCTAGCCCGATAATGGTTCTTTTCATTTGAGTGTTACACCAAAATTTCATGTTATTTCCAATTCACAAAAATGCTTTAGCATACCATATGGCTGACCCAGGAATGGAAAACGTGAATTGCTTTTCGCCTCGAGTTTCCATTACAATGTAAAAAAAATCTGTGGGATACAGTACAATTAATTAATTTAAAGAACTTCATTGTGCTTCTTCAGTTAAAGTTATTTCCTATTAATCCAGTTTGTTGGTTTCATAGTGGTAATCCTCAAAAAGCATCTGCATACAAGTTGTAAAAGCAAAGCTATAATTCTAGGTTAATTCCTAAAATACTTTCCACCATAGGGCATACATGAAAATATATCAGAAGCATAAAGCACTTAAATGTGTTAACAATAAACTAACCCAACACTATTTAATGTCAGGTGTGTAAAATTTTTATTTAAAAAATAAAAAAAGAAAAACTTTTTTTCTTTTTCAAAATACACTGTCGAAGGCTGGGGTTGCAGCTCAGTTTCAGAGTGCTTGCACAGCATGCATGAGGTACTGGGTTCGATCCTTAGCACCACATAAAAACAAATAAATAAAACAAAGGTATTGTGTCCATCTACAACTTAAAAAAAATTAAAAAATACAATATAAGCTGTCAACAAATTAAAAACCAACATACAAAACCAGAAGAGTCCTAAAATCAATTTTGCTTAAGGAAGCATAAGAACAAGAACCTTAGATTTGGATTCAGACAAATTTGCGTTTAAATTCCATCTCTGCTACTTCCTAGCTAGGTGTCCTTGGGTGAATTACTTAAAGCTTTTAAACCTGATTTTAAAAAAATTAAGTAACAAATGTATCTGTCTAACTGAGCCAGGCATACACATGATTGTAGCATACATCTTAACAGCTTCTTTCCTTATATCTGCAATCTATAATGGAAATTTCAAAAGCTTAAAAGTACTAAAAGCTTATTTTTTGAAAATTAAAAATGAGACAGCATGAATTGTAATACAATTTAAGTATTAGTTCAAAAATATCGTCTCTAAACTCTCTCCATTTCTGATCCTAAACCCAACATCCTCCTCCCAAAAGATTAAAATAATACCTAAATATAAAGTGACAAGAATGTTAAAATTTCACTTAAATGGTTACTTGAATTTAACCCAAACTTTGGTCAGTGTTTTTAAGATTAGAAAATAGTGATAAAATCTTCTGTAAAATATCTATATTCTTACAAAACTTCAAATTTTAAAAAAAAATCAAAATTAAATTTAGACTTTTCATTCATTTACTCATAGAATATTATATTAGTAGACAAAGACAACACCTCTTCATGAAGCTTAATGTCCTGAGTGCCAGATAATATATAATCTTCTATCTCATTTTGAAAAAAAAAAATTATTTTAGGCCTTTCAACACACTGGCATGTCTATATCAGCTACCATGCTGAATATACTCACCTCAGGTTTCAAGATACTTGAGATACTAATAACCACTTAAGAACCTTAGGGAAAAAAATGACACTCTCTTTCTAAAACTTCTTAGCACTGCTTAATTTTAAGTATGTTTATGTATGTACCCACTCGTATACATTGTCAGCTACCAACTTGTGGCTCTACACATGTGAATACTGCAAAGCGACTTTGGAGGATATAGGGATCTACCTACCTATTTGGTCTTTGGATTTCAGAGAACTATACAGTACAAAACGGGGAGAAAAAAAAAAAGACTTCCAAAAATGAAGATGAGGTTGACTTCCGCACGCTCACATCAGGAAGGAAAAAGAACTTTACATTCAGGTGCAAGAACACAGAATATAAAAACAGAGGGCTCTAACTGAAATCTCCTTAAGCGACACTGGCATTTCCTAAACACCATAATATAACTGTACATGTTTCTTATATGACTGTACTGTTTCAGATCTTAAAAAATGAAGCACTGTTAAATTAAGAGTCTGGATATCTCCAAAACTGTAGCTATCATGATATATTCATGTCAGTTACTTCTCAGTTTAAAAAAAAAAAAAAGTCAAGGTCCTTTCCAAGAAATATCCAAAATCTGCAGAATTCCTCCCTTCCACCTTACCCACCTCCCGGGTATGGAGCCTTCAAAGTTGCCAAAGGAAACCAGCAAATAAAAGAGAACTACTTCAGTGATAAGATTTCTAATTTTAAATGTCTTAGAACTTGAGTCGTTTATCTGGTTCCAATGCTGTCACTTCATCTAACACACAGTAAAAGGAGTTGCACCATCTCCTCTCTTTAGAAGTCCTACAAGACCGGGTGCTGCTACCAAATCGGCCCCCAGGGGGACAAATGCCATCCTGGGCAGAAAACAGATATGGGAGTGGGGGGATCTCTATGTGAACAACTCTACTACCTTCCAGGGAACATGGGAACTGCAAAGCTTACAGCAAAAGCCAAAAAAGAAGAAAGAAAAAAAAAAGACGGCCGTGTGTGTGTTTGGAAGGACGGAAGGTAGAGACCTCCACGGGAAAGGAAACACCCTAGAGAATCAGGAAACGAAGCACTTCTTTTTGGGGAGGGGAATAAGGCGGCAGAAGTGAAGGTCTGCTTCCTAAGCGATTTTTTCCCTCGCCGGGCCACACTCCCAGGCCAGGCCGCTGGGCAGGGTACTGCCCTTGGGCCGCTCGGGGCCAGGTCACAGCCCCTCCAAGGTCTCCAGTCTCTAGCACAGGGCCAGGGACCTTAGGAGGTCCCCCGCGGCCGCCGCCCGCGCCCCCGCCCCCGCCCGCCGCGCAGGCCCGCGGCCGTCCGCTCGCTCCCGCTTCCTATTTTCGGAACACACACCCTACAAGGAGCGGAGTTAGCAGGCCTGAAAGAGACCTGCCCCCGCGCGGGGCCTCGGGTGACTGACAGGGGCAGGCACTCGGGCGCAACCAGGCGGGAGGAAGGGCACCGAGTGCATAGCCAGTGCCCTTCCCTGGAGGCCAGACTCAGGGCCCATATGACGCGGTGCTGCTGGCTCCACCGGATCGGCTCCGCCGCCCCCGCTGCTCTTACCTTCTCCTCATCAGACAACTGCTCCTCCAGATCCGCCATCTTCCTTCTGGCGACAAACCGTGGCGGCGGCGGCAGCGGCCACCTGACTTCCCCCTTTTCGTGCGGTCCTCCGCGCCGCGCGCCCCCGCCAAGGGAGGGGCCCGTCGCCCAAGCTGCCGCGCACGCGCCCCTAGAGCCCCGCCTCCCCCGCCCGGCCTTCGGGGATGGCTCGGCTGTGCGGTGCGCGTGCGCGGCGCCGGGAGGGGGCGGTGTCTGCTACCCGCCTGCTGCAGGCTTGTCAGCATCCTGAGTATAGGGTTCTCTCCTAACTGATGACCAGATGGACCCAGTCTGTGATGAGTACGTTCTGAGCCTTTGATTATGTTCCCACCAAGGCCTGAACTCTGCCAGCTGAAATGTGAAAAGCTGAACCAATTTAAAACAGTTTAAATATAGGAAAAATACTCAGCTTTAATTAAAATATGCACACACACAACCTAGTCCATAATTGTGAGATTGCTCTTGATATATTCATTTATTCATCCAACAAATACTTATTGGTCTTTTATTATGTACCCGTCACAGGTTAGTCTCTGGGGATATACAATGTTGAAAACAAACAAAAAACAGAAATCGTAATGAAGCTAACTCTATTCATTAAACAAACATTGAGCACTTAGGGAAAACATTGTACTATTGCAGGGAAATACAATATAATGTTAGACATAGAGCCTACCCTCCTGAATCGGCTTGCCAGATTATATTTAGGACACCTAAGAGATTTTGCACACAAACAATTAATATTTTAAATTACAAGTATTTTTCCATGAAGCACTTGAGAGATATTAAGCCATTATCATTTCAAATTTTACTGGCTGTCCTTTATTTGCTAAGTTTGGCAACTACCACTGAGGCTTCAAGTTTACAAGAGGATAAAGTTGTTGTCAAAACTATATATGTGAATCAACTGGAAATTTGTTAAAGTGAAGTTGCTAATTTGATAGGGTTGAGATGGGACTGGAGAATCTGCATTCCTGACAAGCTCCAGGTTAGGCCAATGCTACTGGTCTTAAGACCACACTTTAAGAAGCAAGGCTTTAGATGGAAGTCAAGACTTTATTCAGTAGAAAATAAGAAGCTGTTGAAAACATTTGAACCGTGATATGACTTTATCAGGAATATGTCCAGCAGGACGAATTTGACAGCTGCATATAATTGACATGTAAGAATACCTTAAAGAGTTCAAATAACTATTCAGGTGCAAGACACTATTATTAAGTAATTTTCTGAGTGTTCATTTGGAGAGAGAACAGGAAGAGGAAGCATGCTGACACATGCAGGAAAAAGCAGGTATCCTGTTGAAGTTAGATGTTGTGAAGAAGACATGAAAGATAATAAACCACATTGTTCAAGGGCCTCACTGGATATAAATCAATACCATGTTTACTCTTTTACAGTTTACAAGTCATTGCTTTGTTGATTTCTCATTGTAACTTCATGAAGTAAGGTACTTATTTGTATTATTACACCCATTTTACAGAAGAAAAACTGAGGCTAAATGATTTGTCCAGTGCTACAAAACTTCTAAGAGATCAAGCTGGGATTGGAATAATTCAGTCTATATCTCATATTCTTTCCACTACAAGATTTTCTTTCTCCCTCTTTAAAGTCTAGGCACGCTCCACCAAAATAAAATTTGAGTGAAGATGATTTCTCTGCCATCCCATCCATTCAGTTTACAGTACCTGCTGCATCAATGTATTCCTGGGTTTTAGGTTTTTTCCTCCAATTATATTTTTATTTTTACTCAGTGACACCTAATGTGTCACTGTGTAATATATACAGTGGGTACTCAGTAAATGTTGTTGCTTGATTAACTGGCTGCTCTGTTTCTCTAAAAACCTTACCCAAATATGGTAATGTTTTGCAATAATTTGAGTCATAGATGTTTATACTTGTAACCTTGGTGATACTTTACATATGGTTCCCATAGTGATACAAACAGCAATTATGTTTAATTTCTGATAACCCTTTCAGTAACCTCCCAATACCGCCCTCTTGATAAAATTTAAAGGAATTATAGAATTTACATAACCTGGAAAGATTTCAAGCAGTCACACAAAATAGTTATAAATATTGAAATGCTCATCATATGACTGTAAGGAGAAATGCACCAGTATTCTTGATAATCAGTTATTTTTAAATGAAAAACTAAAAACAAAATTTCCTCTTACACACAATTCTACATAAGAGAGAATTTCTATCCTTTTCTTATTTGATCTCCAGACTCACCTTCCTCCTACTTATTAATGGTGTGTGATCTTGGGTTTTCCATTTAAGTACACCAGACCTGATCTTTTCTTTAGGTTCTTTTCTTTTTCCTTTTTCTGTTTTTTTGTTATTGTCTTATTCTTTGGTAATATTTCTTTTTAAGTTACAAGTATACATGTCAATCTATTTTCCTGTGCATGTGCTCTATGTTCTCAACTATCACTTCAAACTTGTCAAGATCAGAAGTTACCTACTTCCATTTACTTTTTTTTTTTTTTCCAGCACTGAACCAGGAAACTTTTTGTTCAGGAACTGAACCCAGGACCTTGCACATGAAAGCACTCCATCACTGAGCTATACCCCACGCCTCTGGTTTTGTAGAATCACAATCCTAGGGTACTCTAGTTGAAGCCTCTCATTTTACATGTAAATGAGTCTTAGGTAAGTGACTTGGTAACAACTAAGCATCTTGCTGATATTATTTAAGAACCCAAATGCATGCATCACTGAAACACAGAAAGCTATTTACACATCTTTACACATAATATTGTCTATCTAATACATCTGTTAAAGTTTTTTGGAATTCTTTTTTTTTTTTTGACAGTGCTAACGATTAAACCCAGGGGCTGGTACATCCTAAGCAAGTGCTCTGAGTGTTCTATCACTGAGTTTTATCTCCAGCCCCTTTTTCTTTTTGAAGCAGTAAACTGGCTTGGAATTTGCAATCCTCCTGCCTCAACCTCTTGAATAGCTAATACTGGAGGCATGCACCACTGTGATTACAAGCATACATCACCATGTCTCTTTCTGAAATGTTTTTTGGCACCTATCTATTCTTAAAATTCTGTCCAGTCAATCATTTTCTTTGAACCTATCATTAAGTTCTATAGCTAGAGCTAGTAATTTTTTCTTTAAGATTTCCATAGAAACTTTTTCATTGATTTTTGCCATGTACCTTAGTGATGAGGCATACAGATTTTATAATCAGTAAGTCCTGGGTTCTAATCTTTGTTCAGCTCCAACTAACCCTCAGTTATTTATTCTGGAAACTTCTGCTTCTTCATCTTTATATTGGGGGTAATGGTACCTCCCTCATAGGGATGTCCTAAGGATTTAATGAGATCATGCAGATAAAATACTTAGCACCCAGCATAAGCATTACTAAAGGTCTCAATAAATGTTAGCTATTATCATCTTATTATAATAACAATCTGCTCTTGGAGGACATGGCCTATCTCTTAATTAGCTGTCTGGCACATATAGTGTTTGGCACAAAAGTACTTAGAAAAGGCTTTGTTGGAACACTTACTGATTGACTCTTTCATTTCGCATACTGAATTGGGAACTGAAAATTTGAGCTAATGATCTATATGGGGACTTAGAAATTGTCCTAAAATGTAGCTTGGGGACTCTAGAGTAGGAGAGCAAGCAATTTTCCTAGAAACTCCAAAATCATACAAATAACTCGTACTCCTTATAACTCCACATACAGTCGCCCCTTAAATATCTCTCTAATTGACTTTTTACTGTTTAATTGGTTTGTCCCTATAAATTCTAGGCTGCAGCATCTTTAAATGACGTATCAAATTAAATGTATTCTAGGCTGCAGCATCTTTACACAATGTCCCAAATGAAATGAAATATACACTGAAGTATTGTCCAAGGTTGATCCTTCAGAGTGAGGCAAAGAAATACCATTGCTTGTATTTATTTCCATTTAATTATTTGGATTTTTGTTGCAAAATATATTGAGTACACAAAAAAAGCATAGGTACCCCTTCCAAATCCAATTCCTTTCATTCTTCCCACGAGTAACAATTAAACTGAAACTTGTGCTTATTATTTGCATGCATGTTGATTCTTTTCAAACCAAGAACCTTCCTTTTTCTCTTTTATGTCCATCAAGTGTGGTATTCAGTTTAAAGTATATCTATAAAATGCAAAAAATAGTTTTGTGATTTCTGATATAGTTTTATATACAACATGAATAGAAGACATTAATTAGGCAAATTACTGGCAAAACAAACAAACAAACAAAATCCCACCTCCCTCTGTAGCAATGTAAATTGTAGTACATGAATGAAAAGACTTTTGACCTGGACAGCAACACTTTGCACAGATTTGCTGGTAGGAAGTGAAAAGATAGGTTGAATATCTTTAATTTTTACCCATAATGTCTGATAATAATTTTAACTCTTATTTGGACTCAGTAATAGCACTGTGACAGCAAAATGAGATTGTCATCTATCTTTCCCCAAGCCACACTAATCTCCTATTAAAATAGAATTTCTCTAGCTGAGGTCTAGTCCAGAGAACTGCAGCAGCATCTGTCCGAGTTTCTTCCTCTCAGTTCTTTCAGAATGTCACAGTCGGAAGTGCTAACATTGCTGTCCTTCTCTTTGACATTGACCTTCATCACCTCTGCAGCTCTAGCTATCCTATCAGATATCTTCTATTGTAGCTCTGGCACCTTTCCTAGTACTCTGCTCCCAGGATGGAGGGCTCCATGCTTATATCACCTTGTTTTCTCCTTCTTGTAACTTTAGCTGTGTACATCACAGGTAAGTGCTGGGCCATCAAAGTCACTGTCCTAGGCTGTGTATTAGGGCACCCAGTTTTCCACAGTCTTCTCTTGCAAGCTGCTTCTGGTGAGTAGAGCTGAAGGGGACACCATGAGTGTTATGACCAAATAACCTCAGAACACTTTTTACTATTTCAGTGTTTCATTGCTTTCCACCTTCACTTTATAGTACCCACAATTGTTCTTTGTAGTACTCCCCTTGTGCTACAGGGCTGCTTTGCCAGCAAGCACACAACTGTAAGTTTGGCTTCTCTGGGGCAGATCTTACCGGCAATTGTCAGATGCTGGAATTAAAACAAAACAAA